AGATTGATATATTTCATCACACGTAGTCTTAGGACTTGTTCCTCCCTATCTGTAAGAAAATTTTGGGAATTAAAATGGTTGAATTTATCGAAATTTGTTAGTCTCTTTCATTTAGAAGCTAGAAGTCCTCTATAATCGTAGACTCAGATAGGACTGTAATAAAATCTAATCTAATCTAATCTAATCACACGTAGTCACGGGGTGCTGCAGAATGATGATGGTGACGCAGTATTAGTCGTAGTGTATGAGAGCCCCTAGATTGAAGTTTGACAGATAAACGACATATAAGAATCACGAGATCTCGAAGGGTGATGGAAGGAACGTGAAACAAATCCCAACATGACTGAAACGTTTAAAATACTCGACTAGTGTAATAGCCGGAGGTTAAGAAAGCGGCAGGACGTTGGGAAAGTCAATGGTGGATGAATCGACTAACCGCTATTTTCTGGGATGAGAGATTTGCCAGCCGATACAGGGCTAGGTGCGTAACATTACCGTGAGTATATTTCTCCTTGTTCATCGGATTCGGCTGATCGAAATAGAACTACTTGTATGAGTAGAATCTCCGCATCGAGCATGAGTTATGACTATTAGCTCTAGCTTGATGTGACTGACGTCATCTCAATCAGTTACCGGAACATTCTACTCCCGTCTATAGCCTTGCGACGGAAGGGGGTGGTCCGTGATATATCGATCGATCATGCAAAAAATGTCTGTTCAAGGAACGAAGGCACGCATTTAATCTAGTATTCCCTACCTGCCGTCTGGCGAGAAAACTGATCTTATTTGGCTGATGAATGGCTGTCTATACACTGAAAGCTCATTCCGTGTTCTGTCACTTTCCCGAATCTGAACATTATTCTGATCATATCGCAGTTATCATGCTCCCATCTCAGCAAAATCAGCCAGACAACCCGCACAGACTGTCTCAAATGAATCTAGACTCTTTCATGATTCCATAGAAATGAAAGGCCGGTAAGAATGTGTTCAGGGTGCAAAGACACCGCGGGCCAAAACAGATACAGTTTGTGACCTTGTGTCAATTAGACGGATGAGATCATCCTCCACGATACGTCGTTTTTAATTTTCCTTTTCTTGCTTTCGTTAACAGTGCCACAAAATCCTTCCGAGCCTGCCGGCGCGTCCCGGGAAAAGGTGGCGATCCTGCATTGGAGTTTCCTAGAAACAACGGGAATCGTGAGATAGTGGATAGCAGCAACGGTAATTGTGATGTAGTATATGCCGGCATTCTTCAGGGAATGATTAAGCTGGGCAGTCCGATAAGCCTTACGAAAGATTTCAGACCTCTCGACCTGCGACATGAGAGTTAAACTTTCGATCTCGTTTTCAACCAGAGCCCCTGCTAGACTCTGGCCGAAGAGCTTGGTTCATTCTTTCCAAATAAGATTAAGCCCGTCAACGTCTTGTCTCAGCAATAAACTTAAATTACCTTAGTATGGATCTAAGATGATAGGCTTTATGATGAAATGAAGAAAGAACCTCATCAACCCCGGTATTTTCTTCGGATGTTGCCCTCGGCTTATCTTTGTGAATGTCGCATGATGCCGAGTGCATCCTGGGTATGGTTGTCTGCCGTCGGTACTTCAGCTGTTCAGCCAAGTAATCTCATTTAATAAGCCTGAGGACAGCACGTGTGCGTTTCCACGTGAGAGTATGCAGTCGGTTGATGTGGTTGGGTCCCCTTCCCTCGCATGGGCGGAGATATCCGTGTGAGTCTGCGAAGGGGAATCCCGCTTGCTCACCACACGGACCGAATTTGAAGCCCCAATCCCTGCTTCCGGCACGACCGCTCTCATTTGAAGAGCAAGGCCAATAGTGATCAGCATATTTCCGTACTGGTAAACTCTATAACTTTACGGCGATGAAACGCGCAACAAATAAGTCACTGGGCTCTTAACGAGGAACGGGCCCACACAGCTTTGCTACTGATGAAACAACGCGCCGTCTTCCCGATGCAAACACAACTTCACAACAATGCTACTTATCAAATGCCTCCCTGGAGCAGCCACGTCAATCAATAATTCATAAATCACGCTTGACATACCATGTGTAGATACTCATTAAAAAAGCATGCTCTGAAAAGTCCTTCATGGATCGATCTGCTAGATAGATTTCTCTGAGCGCGATCTTTGACCATGAAGATGGATATAAAACCGTTGGCCGTGCAGGATGTGATTTGTTCACACCTTAAATTCCTGGTATGAACTTGGAGACTGTGAGAATAGGGTTAATACAATCAATGTCTGTTCGCTCTAGATTGTGGCTGTGACAGTGTGTACCTACATTTATCTATCAAGAAAACGGTCGGGTTGCAGAGAGGGCGGGGGTTGCTTAATCTTCTGGCGACGTGTTCGCAGGAGATGGGCTTTCTACTGTCTCCAATGCGCGCCTCTACCAGAAGGTTCGAGGGCTAAGCCGCAACACCTGGCCAGATTTTCTCCAAGGATCTAGCTGGCATGACCCAGCAGAAGCCCAGCACTGCATAGGGCGTTTATGATCCTAGTCGGGATTGTTGTGTTTTCACCCAGGTTAAGCAGGTGACACTGACTGGGGTCATTAAAGCATGACAAAAAATCAGACCCACCACCTACAATTGACTGAAATTTGAAATATTTCGGTATTTCTCGCGACACCAGGCCATCCATCAATTTATGGATGGTGGTCAGGAGCATTTAGTAGTGTGGCATTCCGCGCACATGGTAGCCAATACTAACACGAAGGTAACTGGTTGTATAACACTGTGGGTGCGTGCAATGTAGATATCCATTTGCGAGGCGATGCGGCATCCGGCTGGCTCATGCACTAGGAAAGTCTTGGAATCAGGGGGCAACATGAATCTAGTGGATACAGATTGGGTGAGGACACTATGTGTTGTTAAAGGCGAAGATGCCCGAGTGCGATTGGGGGAAGAGGCTGGGAGCGAAGAATCGGTGTAAAGAACTGAGGACTACTCGAGTCGATAGGTGAAGACAGACGGGGATACATTAGAAGCACAGCCAAGACCTGTTGCTGGGTCTGTGAGAGGCTCGGAACAGGATGCCGAGTCGGGATTCTGGATAGCTGTGTAGCTGATTCAAAGCAGAGACTTATATCGAGTTAAAGGGTTAGAAACAATCATGGCTGTACAAATTGTTGCGAACGAGTCCCAATCAAAAATATGATGGCCGCCCGAGGTGATTAATTTGACTTCGAGGCAGAGAAGCGCGTACAGAACATGCAAGCACCCTGAAACAGACCCTAGCCAGGGGAGACTAAGCGAGATCAGGCTGAGGAATAGTTGAAGACAAAGTACTTTGCCTAGAAAAACTCGCAGCCTAGCGGTATTGGCTATGAAAATCCATTCTGTCGACCCCCCAGCATTTGACTAATTACTTCGTGGATCCTTGGGAGAGGACAAACGGCGGCTACGTATGTCACTAGGGGTCCTTGTCCCCGGTGGAGCCGTGCAAGTGGTGGACGTCGGGATGTCGATGACTTCTGCGGCTGTAGAACGAGAAGATGCTAGGGTGAGATCTCAATGCCGCTCTCGACTAGTAATAGTACCGTAATATCGGGAAGCTTACGCCTTTTGAGAGTGAGACGTGTTTGTGCTGCCTCAGTATTGGCAAGAAGAGTTAAGTGCAGGACCAGTTATTTTTGTTGGACGAATAATTCACTATCGAAAGTGTAGCAACTGTGTCCCGGGCCCTCTCAACCCAGCCATGAATTCTGTTACGAGGTTCCAGGTGTAACAAATTCGGAGAGTAGTAAAAATGGTCAGAGTTCATGGTGACCATCCACCTTCCGCTGCGACCCTGAAGTCGGACTCGGGCCGAGCAGATTTAGCCTCCAACAAAGAATCCGGGGGGCTCACAAACTCAGAATTCTAGTACTAGTCCGCGCGGTCGCAAACGTGGGGATGAGCACCCGGTGGCTGGCAAAGATTGTGAGTGGCTGGCCAAGGTAGGAGAAAGAGTCTGCCAGCCATTACTCTGCCGTGGACCATGAATTCTCGGCCTGGATGGTGACCATCCAACGCACATTCGCTTGTTGTTATGCTCATGTGCATGCTGGCTGCACAAAACGGCGGGCTCTGAGTTCTAAATAGAACAATCGTTGGTTATTACGAGATCCAGGGATTCCCGTTGTAGCGAATGCACCGAACACCATAGCATTCGTATGCGAGTCAAATCTTAATCTTCCCCTGAATATCTCCCAACCTCCCTGTGTAATGCGAAAGCGACCAAGGCCATTAATCTCAAGCGGATGACCCCAAGTCACCGGGCAATAGTTTGTCGGTACGGATCGTTGTTGTGAGGTGGCTGACATAAGATGCGCCCAGATCGGCGCGAGAATGGTTACTCTATAGACTTTTAGCACAAGAAAACCCAAGGTGAAAAGATTAAGGAGTCGCCCCTTCCCCCCTTCTCACAGAGGCTGGGATTGGAAGGGATGGGAAGGGAAGTGAAGGGGTGGGGGTCGTCCATCACAAGGGTTCCTCTGCTGAACCCCATCAGTAGCAGCCTACAAGCGTCCCGCGGACCCATACAGAGTAGCGACCCGTGCCAGCCTAATATCCAGCGATTTGGGCTCCTTAACCTATTTATCTCCTGCCTCGCCCACCCCCTACCCCACTCCTACAAATTGTGTCGTTTCTCCCCAGTCGACAAATTAATTTCACACAAACAATTTATTTTTTATTGATAACTGGCCGCACTCGTTCAATTGATTCGAGTTGGGTAATAATTTAGCCCATCAAATTCAATTCTCGCCAGTAATCGGTCGTGTCGTTTTGAAACCATCTTGACTTCACCTCGGAAAGGGATCACAGCAACAGTCCTGGATATGTACGGATCATTCACAAAGATTTCTTCTCTTTCTCCTCGTACCGACTACATACCACGGTGACGGGCTCGTCAGACTCACCAATATCGATAATACCAAGTTGTCGTATATCGTGGACCTTCAGACTAGCGACATCAATAGAAGCCGAGGATATCATGAACCCCTACGCTGCCTACGCGACTCCGTTCCCTGGATATCCGGGATACTATCCTGCGTACCGAAGTGCCACTCCATCCCCAGCCGCGTCGCCATCAGGAGGCTATCACGGGTACTATCAACAGCCCCCATTGAGACCCGGCACAGCACGTCCATCTACAAAGCAACATCAGCGTCATGTATCATCAGGGGAATCGTGGGCGACTCCCCAGCGCGGAGCTTTCTCCCCTCGGTACAATTCCAATGGACACTACGCCACTACGGCAGCCAATGTGAGTCGAAAATATTCTTGGTCAGCACCGCGCCACATGCGTAGCCAGTGTTTCCCGAAACCTGCTCCGTTTGAGGTTGTAGATGAAAATGAATTTATAAATGTTTATCATGAATGGCAGGAAGGGGGTCATACTCCACCGCAGCGAAGTCGACCGACAAAAATGTGCTATAATTTTCGTGGGCATGGCACTGATTATAATTACTCTTCTCAGGCAACAGCATTTTCATACGATAAAGAAGAACTTAATAACACCCCGCATCAAACCGATAACCCTATCCGAAGGGGTCACAAACATTCAAATTCCACCCCTAAACGTTCTCAGACTGCGCGGCCCGCCGCACCGCCCAAGAAACCGAGTCACACTAACATAGCTACCGAAGCTGATGCGCGAAAGCATCGAATTCCTCAAGGTTATTCTCTAAAGCATTGGGATCCGTCTGAAGAACCTATTATGCTTCTTGGAAGTGTATTCGACGCAAATAGCTTGGGTAAATGGATTTACGATTGGACTGTATACCACCATGGTCCTGCTACACCAATCACTGACATGGCCGGAGAACTATGGCTACTTTTAATCCAACTCGCAGGTAAGGTAAAGCGTGCAGAAGAATGCATGCCTCGTATACGCACACAGGTAAACAAGGAGATGATTGACGATTTTATCGAGTCTGGTGACCGCTTAACAGATAAGCTGAAGCGTCTATTGAAAGCCTGTGAAACTCCCATGCTTAAGGTTGGAAAAAGTAATAAAAACGCATCCCAATTGGGAAAGAATGCTGGGATAGAATTTGTCGACTCTATTTTTGGCCGTGATCGCCAACTCGACGCCACTGAAAGGTTTATGTCGTCCATACGATTATGGAACCTTCGCTTTGATGCGAATTGTGAAGAAATACTTCGGCGACCGGAACAATAAATCTAAGAAAAAAACAAATCACTGAAATCAATCTGTCACAGACACTAGAGATTCAAATAACAGCCTGATCAGGTCGATCATACTATGAAAATTTATTCACTCTCTTAAATTTCTCCTAAAGGTGCCTTGGTGTTATTGGTGTTATGGTATCTGTAAAAATATGTCATGGGATCGCTAACATTAAATATGTGTATATATATATACGAAAATCAAAAAGAGATGAGGTATTAAAGCACTTGAATTTCCGATAGCTAAGATAAAATGCGCAAACCATCAGATACAATTCAACACACCGAACTATGCCGACTGCCATCGTTCTATCGAGCCGCAGTCGAATTAATAACAACTCACGGATTTTTGTGTTCCAAAAAAATACGACAAGATGTCTAGTTAGACATTGCAAAGGGATATGCGAGGCATTAAAAGGGACCCGGGCGCCATATCAGGCGTAGTGAAGGATTGAGATGTAAAAAAGGTAAAGGAGAGCAGTTCCATCGCTATTAGATCGTTACTTTTTGGGAATTTGTTCAAAATATTGGCAGTCAATGGTCCGCAATCGGTTTGGAATGGGTAGATTTAGCTGTTGGTCGCGTTGCGCTTACGAGATACCCTACCGCTTCCTCGGCTGAGGAACTGCATTTCTATTTTATGGATGAATGAATATATCACATTAATCTCTACAATGGATTTCCCGTTGTCAATCGTTCATGCTTGTGTTATTAAAGTTGCTAGTGCGTGACCCGCACAACGAGGACAGCACTTAATTCATAAAATCAGAGCTAATGTAACTGGGCTGATCCTCTATTGTGGTTATATGATACTAGTGGTCCCAAACCAACATTGGGTAATTTGACCAAGGCTCGCAGAGATAATTTAAATCCTACGTGTACCAATGGTAGACGAGAAGAAGCTCATGTACCATTGCATGGGTAGTATTTTGATGCTTGACTCCAGCAAACATGAGATTAATTAAAGAAGACCTGCCAAATTCTGCGGAGTCCAATTCTTTCATCTGAAGAAGTGGCAGATGCCTTTCATGGGAAGGAATCGGAACGGAGATGACCGGAAACGAGGGGACCAGTAGATTAGTGAAAGAAAGAAATGAGCTTGTCCAGCCGCTTTGCCCTGTGGTTCCTGGGTACTCGGTGCTAGCGTATCATGTAAGACGGAAAATGGTCACAATCTCTTCATGGTTGACTCGGTAGCTGCGCGTGACGGTTGAGAAACACGAAGTTTAGGCGGCGAGCAGACGGTGGAAGGAGACGTCAGCCACTGCGAGATTATTCGCCGCGACTGGAAGTGGTAGATGAAATGGCTGTAGTAGATTCTGGCGTTAAGGGTGGATGAGAGGCAGGGATAACCATGTCGAGGCGCCAGATTAAAGTGGCCTTTTGGTTGGGGCCGAGGTTCAGGCTAACATAGCTCAGCGGCTGCGGCTCTGTCAGCCAAGCAGATAGTTGTGGGGTTTGCCGCCCATGCTGATGGCACGTCTATTATCACTACGCACACGCTGCCCTGATGGTCGCTCTCAATCGACATCGTTCCCCTCATCTTTCCACGCTTTGTGCACAAGAGGTAATCAATCAAAACCCACGGCTTTGCCCACGAAGTTCCATGGGCCGAGTCGTGTCCAGGATTTGCCACGCCTGGTATCGCGCAAGCGTTTTGTGCCTCGCTCTGCTCGCACTTGTGTGGCGATAACGGGATCTGAAGACACGCTGCCATGTTGAAATAGGACGTGACGAGGACAGAGGCCACTGAGCGTCTGGCTCAATCCTTGTGGCCTGCGAAGAAACCCCCATCCGTCGTGTTCCCACACTTGCGTCGTAGCTGCAGGCAGGTGAGCGCTGTGCGTAAACTACTCTGCAGGAGATGACTTCCCGAGTTTGCGGTTTCAGGCCCCGTCGGTGGCTCGTCCAGTCGAGGTCCGGCTCCATCGGCCCGCGGTCGCGTAGCTGAAATTTCTCACTCCTGTAAAGGCATTTCCCACCCCGCGCCGCTTCTGCGCAGGTTCATCATCTCGGAGTGGGCGCAAGGGCCTCATTCTCTCCCAACAACCCCGTCAGGCTCCCGATTGTCGAGTCACAAATCCATAATCAGGGCAATTTCAGGCGTTCTCAAGGTAACCGCTCGGTTAAGGTATCCTTATTATTCACGTCGGGAACGCGGACAGCAGGGTATTAGCCTGTCGAGTCAGGAACCCCGATGGCCAGGCCAGCGAGAAATCTGAATCTTCGCATCCTCGTCGCGCTCCCGCCCCCACTAGACGCGGCTGCTTGGGCTCTGAGATACCCATAACTCGGACTTTTCCATGCCCACTTCGTTGTCCCCTAGCAGCCGGCTTATACGCGTGGCCGGGTACAGAGGGAATGGCCAGCCAAAAAGCAATGTCGACCAGCCAGAAAAACTGCAACGATCTAATGTTTGGGTAGGTAAGCGCGCATCCTTACACTTCGTCTCCACCCTCCCGCGCAAAGATCCCTGGCCACTGGTCCATGAAGACGGGGTCCAGGCATCAATGGCAGCGTGCTCTAATCAAGCCTTACATCTACCAGAAAAGCCTTGTCGAGATCCGCAATCCGTTGAACCCTTGTCTGTCAACGGGAGGCGGCTGACCAGCTCAAACACCAAATCCCGAATCCCAGCGCCGCAAAGAAGGAGCGGATCATGATTCAGCTGCCCCACTGGCATATCTCCCGAATCTAGCCGGCCTGGACTATGCGGGTCAGCCTTGTCTAGATGGCTCGAAGGCTATCAATTTCCTAGAATGAGGATTATCACCAATAACAACGATAACAACAACAATAACAAAGCATACAATCATCTCGGATCCACGGCAAGCGCGAAACGAGCCTTCCCTCACATCGAGTCATGGCCTCGCCCCACTCCTTGATTCAAAATTACATATCGATGTGATGTTGTTGCCGCTTCGTCATTCACGTCTGATCCCAAAACCGCCTACATCGTGATAACGTTCAGAATTGCCCTGCAGCAGTCTCTACTCATTGACTTACGAGCAGAACTAACCTCCATTGTCGTGCCTGGCTGCCTCTTGCCCTTCGATCGATCAAAGTGGAAGACGTCAATGTTGATCAAGTTTCTACCCAACCATTTTCATCTGAACCGGCCCGTCCCATTCGGGCAGAGGCGAGATGTTCCTCAGATGATAGGGAACGCGGCCTTCTTTCACTTGATCTCATCGGGCATCGTCGAATCGCGCACCCCCTGCACGCTTGGCTATCTCCAAAAGTAGATCGGGAGGAGGCATGCTTTGCTTTTTGCCCTTTTGCCGTCCATAGTCCCAGTGCGATTTGACCCGCTTCCTTCCTTCCACCGCCTAGCCACGACGCGACACCTGGCTTCAAACTGCACAGTATCTGTTGCGCATCGACACGGTGAAGAATGCTTGTGAGCTAGCCACGGTGTGGCCATATTTATTCCATTGTAACGATCACCATTAGGGAATGCAGCAGTGATAGCTACCAGCCAACTCCTTCAATTTCTTGAATCTCGAGTTTCGCTGTGCTTAACCTGCCGGCCGGCCGACATATTGCGCCCACCTTCACCCAAGCTTTCACACGAGCCGACACGCCTTTCTCCGAGGTGCAGGCTTAACAATCCTCCAGTTTTACCGGACTCGGCGTCGACACGTTTCGCTAGCAAAAGGAATTCAACCATCCACCAACTTCCTCAAAGTATTCTTAGTGACATCTAGACGACTAACCGGCCGACGGTACCGTTCTTGTCACCGAAGTAGTTGGGAGCTAAGCCTTACCTATAAGGAATTTCAAATATCAATGACGCATACATCTTCTTGTTGCCTCTAGGATTCAATTCGTTGACTAATGGTGCGACTACGGTTGTCGATAGGTGTTATGTTGTTTATGTGGCATAGACTGATCTACCAACTACTTAAGGAGAAAGCAATTCGGCTACCGTAGCTACACCTACCACCCTAGCCTTTTTTCAAGGTCTAGTGCAAGCAACTCATCCTCTCTTCCTGAAGAAAAGCTGTGTTATTTCTTCGCCATGATCTACTGGGTAATAGCACCAGCTATCACAGCCTCGCTAGGTCTCTCATGTAGCCTTAGCGCATCTCCGCTATGATCTTGTCCATGCTCAAACACCCCTAGAGCGGCGCACGGGGCTCCTCTTAGCTTATACAACGGTCATGCCGCACTCCACTCCTAAGAGTAAGCACACCCACACCCACAATCTGAATCACTTGATCTCATCAGGCCTAATATCGTCACGTTGGACTTTTTCGTTTCATGCTTATCTTTAAATGATGTGTTATTCCAGCCTAAAATTTCATATCCCTTCATAAATCCGCGACGCGTCTGATTGCACGAAATCAAATAGTCAAAGTCACGCGAGATTCTCCCAAAATTAGGGCTAATTTTTCGAAATAGTAACATCTATGGCAAGCATACAATTGAGTGGCTAACCTGATGGTTTCGAAAATCTGTCTCTGTCTTCGCCCGAAGCCTGCTAACAAGTTGGCCTCTCGCTCGGATGAATTTCCGGCCCGGACTCAGACTCCACGTAAACCAGATGAAGCTACCCCCGTAATTTCGGGCCGTGCAAGGGCAGGGCCCGTGAGCGCGGCCACTGCGTAGCTTACGCCACTGTCTCCGTCCATGTCCAAAGAGACACAACGCTTCATTTCCTGCAGACCCGTGTCGCCATTAATTATCATGGATGGCCATGCGCCTTTACTCGATCTGCTTGGGCCCAATAAATCTATCGTCAGGCTAGCTCTCGCCGCTTGTGGAGATAAGGAAATACTTTTGGGTGAAGCAGCGGCTTCTTGGCCATATCTTGAGTGTCTCGAGAAACTCGTCGGAGGAAGGCTGTAGTATTAATTAAGAGCAACGTTAGTGCCCATAGCTGTATTAGGCGAGACTTTACAATTCTTCTATCACAAGTTAACCTCCAAGGTATGGTCCTCCAGGCTAAGTAAAGTGTTAGTCTTGCTAGCAGTAGCTTATGGAATCAGT